AAAACGGCGAATTGTTTGCATAAATTTGTAACTTCAGTCAAGACCATAAACCTGATCCTCTTCAACATTGAAAAAAAAACTGGTCGATCCTCTCCGTAACATTGAAGTTTTATAGTTAATAGAAAGAATTAAACTCCCCTCGAAACTATTACATTGTGTGTATTAGTCAGCGACAGATGTTTCCCTGCTGAACTAGATTTGTTGAAGGTTGAAAGCTGAACACCTGTTGTCTGTATTTTCACCGGGTCCTGCAGATTTTTAAACACTCCGTTCAGGAAATCCCACTGAAACTCAAATAGAAACGTTTTCTCTATAAATTCTTTGAAACTGGTAATCTAGAAATGATTCAGATTTTCAGGTAGGAACAGCAATGCCAACTGGATACGACGTAGTGTTGAACGTAATGTTGACGTACTGCTCGGTCCGATGTTGATCGATAAATTAAATTTTAACAGACTTAGATCAGAAAATGTTTGTACGGTATAATCTACTCGAAAAGAAAGGGACAAAACAGGAGAGACATGGATTGAGCGAAAATAAATGAATTAACCTTCTTCACTCCATTTCCATTAAGCTACTACTCGTCTGTAAAACATTTTCTCCAAGGCTCACAAACAGGACATAATAACATCCAAGTTCTAAATTAAATGTCGTCTCTCCAAATCAATCTCACTCTCATACTCTCACTCTCATTTTCTCTACTAATCTACTACTAAAACTTAATAAAATGCCTTTATTTTTTTTCTACTTTACGATTTTGTCAGCATAAGGGAAAATTCGATAAAAATCGTCGCTATATCCAGTAAAAAGCAAGTCTAATGGAGATGAAGCCGCCATGTTCAGTAGTTTATTCAATCCACAATTTGCCTCGTCCGGAAGGAAGGCGGGAGAAACTTTTGGAAAAGCCAATATAATAATAGCGCATATGTAAAAAATATATATATATAAAAATGCGAGCCGATTCGATCAATAAGCCTTACAAAACAGGAGGCTTTGTCGGATATTTACAGATCGAGACGATTACGATATGCGTTCTAATCGCCTACAATAGTTTGTGGGGGAATGGAATTAATGACAATTGGCTGCAGTTGCGACAGTGTACTGGGAGAAAACACCCACTGACGACCTTGGCTTGCAAGCCGATTCGGATCATATCTGCTGTTTCATGTCAACGACCAGACCAATGATTAGAACGTTAACATGAACATTGACTTTCCTCCGGGCTGTCATATAAACGAGCCGATAACAGAAATATAAACGGAGAGACAAGTATTAACGACGAAATACCAATGAAAATGAACGAAAGGGCGAACCTTGATTACAATCAATTTAAAAGGGATGAACGATTTGCAAAATGATGAAATTTATTAAGCCGTTGTAAGAAGGGCCACGGCAATTGTTTGAAAAATCAATAGCCCATCCCCTGGCCCATCCGGAACAACCGACTCCAAGACATAAGCAATTTAAGCTCCTCTAGAAGAAATTTTTCTTTTTAACGAACACACAAAAGCTTAAATCAATCACCCCCTTCTTCATGAATATTGTTTGAACTCCTTTAATTATTTCAAAACAATTTAATGGACAATTCTTAAAAAATATATTCAACTCTTTTAATTTTGAATACCATAAGTGACAACGTTATTTCAAAAACTTAACATAATAACTCTTCACTTTACATTGTTATAAAGAACATATCTTTTATTTATTAATTTTACGAGGGTTCGCAACAGCAGAGGTCATATAAACCCTCAAGGTGCCGGTGTTTTTGAAAAAGAGCACATTTATATTGGATTCGAATATTTGTTACATGCTGCTGGATTCGAACCCGAGAACTTTACCTTACAGTGATGAGCGCAGTGTGAACGCCTAAACTGTTGCGGCCTCCGACGCCCTGTATCGATATATATATANATATTTGAGTATATAAAGATTACGTTGTCTTTTAAAATTTTTTATCACGTTGGATTTAGCTCCGCATAATAAACTGCGCAAAAATGAATAGGGATATTTGTAATTTATTCTTAATATATTAATTTTAATTAAATTAATCAATATATTCTTGTTACAAAATAGAAAATACAAACCAAAAACAAAAAACAAAAAATTGTTAATCCTCATTTTTAAAAACGGATTTATATCTTGAACCAAAACTTCGGAACATTACTACCCTACCCCTCAATTCACGCAAGTACATGATTTGTTTCAATAAATAACACATATCACATACATGAAAGTTTTACAAAGATCTACATACAATTAAAAATATGTATGGACCTGAGCGATCAGCAATCTGCACCTGCTGCAAGGTCGAATGGATTCAAAGAAGTAGATTTTTCAGTGTATGGATAAGTTTAGTACCGAACTTCGCTATGAAATATTTTAGATGGTAATTCTTGCAAACAGAGGTCCTTTCAGGACCTAAAAATCTTTTTCAACGTGGAAATGGTATGTACGCAGACAGGGTGACAGGAGTTCCACTAAGAAAAAGTACTTTTTTGGTGTGTAGGTGGCACTTGGAAGCCGAATTTGGCCGAAGGGAGGAAGGTGTGGGCTTGAGGGGAAAATGTGAGGTATGGGACCAGCGGGTCGCCGCGGCCGGCTTCCGTCGATCTCGATCCGCGCGGATCTGGCATTGACCCAGATAGAAACGACCTGCCTTCATCTCTCTTCAGACTAGTCCGCATGATAGATCGTTTTAGATTAATCTTCAATAAGACAGCTTCTCCAGATAGTAGGTAAATTATTTATTTTCTGTGCAAATAACAATTAGCTCAACTATATGTCATTACATATATTAGCTGCTAGTCTGACGACTTCAAAAGACAGCTTGCCCATGAAAATATTTTTTTTCTTCATTTATTTGTATCTACAACTGTACATGTATTATACACAACCAGCAGATTGGATTTTAATTTATGTTTGAGGCATTAAGGGCATTTTAGAGAAAGCTACCCACTGGCAGCCGTTCTTGATTAATAAAATTATAATCATTTAAGAGGTCTCTTATCCATATTCTTTTTTTTTTTTTTTTTTTTTTTTTTTTAACGAGGGTTTGCAACAGCAGATGTCATATAAACCCTCAGGGTGCCAGTGTTTTTGAAAAAAAAGCCCATTTTGTAAGTATGTCGGGTTCGAATGCAGGGTCATGTGTGATGAGCGCCATGTCAACGCCTAAACCGTTGCCCCCCCCCCCCAGTGTGTTATTGCTTATGTAAAAAAAGGAGCAGAAACAATTAGTCTTTTGGATTGAAAACTTTGTAATCTTTGAATATTGGAATATATCTGGTCGATCCACAAACTGGGCACCCGTACATCCAAATAGGTTTGAGTAGGTATGTATATGTCGAAAGTTTTGATTGTAATTGTAATTTTGATTGTCAGTTGAATGTTGAGTGTCTGTTTTTCAATCGTGTGTGTAGATTCCAAGTTAGTCTTCTATCAAAGTAAGTCCTAAATAGTTAACTTTGTCGGATTGAGGAATAGGTTCATTATATATCCTAAGACAAGTTTCACGAGTGTAAAGGTGATGTGTTTTGTCTTTGAGGGGTAAACTATTTTCCAAAGATTGCTCCATTTTTCAATTGTTGATATGTGGTTTTGTAAGTGAAGCTTATGTAGAAGAGGGATGACTTGTTAATATGGCGGTGTCATCTGCGTATCTGGTGTGTGTTCTCATTTGTGGGTATGTCAGTAGTAAAAATTGTGTACAACAGTGGAGCGAGTATTGACCCTTGTGGCACACCTGCAAGCACTTCTTCCACCTCAGAAGTCACCGTACCCTGGTTCACTGCGAAAAATCTCTCCTTAAGGTACGATTGTATGATCAGATAATAGGCCAGGGGAAAACATAATTTTATTTTGTGTAATAATCCCTCATGCCATATTTTGTGGAAGACCTGAGAAATATCTAGAAACACTCCATTTTCAAAAACAATTTCTGCTCGAGCCATAAAGTAATGAAATCTGTAACTCTGTGAAGTTGATGAGTATGAATGATGGGTTCGAAGGCCAAATTGATGGACAGGTAAGATGTTGTTTGAAGTAGCAATAGAGTTAATTTTTTGTAAATTAATTTTTCGAATAATTTAGAAGGAAATGGTAACAAATAGGAAGATGATAAGCTTAAATTTTTATGGGGCTTTGGGATCATTTTAATGTAAGAAAGTTTCCATTGTATGGGAAAGTGTGTATTCCTCAATAATGCGTTAAATAAAGAAATCAGAAAGACGACGGCTTTATTGGGAAGTTCTTGAAGAACTTCAGCTGTTATCAAATCATGACCAGGTGATTTTTTTTAGGAAGCTGTCGTATTCTTGTGTTTTTTTGTGTATTTTGGAGTTATTGGTTTAGATGGTAGATCTAGTATCGATTAAATTATGAGATATGGGGGACATATTTAAAACAATGTCCGACTGAGCTAACGGCAGGATTTCATTGCCTTTTGACATAAGATTCGATTACACACACAAAAACATAGTAGTTTTACATTAATTAAGAACATCAAATTATAAATTGTAATTCTTTGGTTTTACAGACTTCGTATGAAATGTAAATTCGAAACATTTCGAAGTTGTGCGTATTGAAGGCCACCATGTCAACAGATCACGGCGATACAAGAAACTGGTTTTCACAACATAACAAAACGACGCATAGTGGAATAAATTCCCAACCACTGGCTCATCGACGCGTTTTATTTAAAGACGACATATTTTAAACATATATCAAAGGAATAATATTCATCAAGCGAAAAACAACTGTTAAATAACATTTCCTCTGTTTTTAATTATTTAATTTGACGTTTTATTAACTAGAAACTCCAATAAAAAGCTCTATTCTGTTTTATTTAAAGACACCTGATTTTCAACAAATATCAAATAAATAATATCTATAAAACCAAACACAATTGTTAAATAGCATTTCCTACATACGTACAATTCAATTAAAAATATAAAAATCCTTCTCTACACAAAAATATATCGCACACCCACAAGAAAAAGTGATACAACTCAATAAAAGAAAATTTTACAGGAGAGGCAATTGTAAGTTGACTTTTTGTTACTTATGTATTAAGTAAACGCCATTACGGTTGTTGGAAATAAAAACTGACATGATCCGTCAATGATGGCTTTCGTTTTTCCAAGACTTAAGCGAAAACACAAAACTTTAAAAATTAAGTTGTAACAACCCTTAAAAAACTACTCCTTTTTGAGTTGTGACACTTTTCTTGCATACATTGGCTCTCATTAATTTAAGTTAGTTTGTTTGCTCTAACGATAATGGAGGTCAATGAATCACTATAAGCGTATTCATTTTTTTGGTGATAGTAACAGACCACATGGCATAAACAAGGCCTAACAAAAGAGCATAAATATCCATGTAGTAAGTTTTGCAAAGATTATTTTTGACCCAAATGTGCTTTCCTCCTGGACTCAGCGTTAATTAGTTATATAATATACCAAATTAATTATTGAAATAAAGGTTTTATTGATGATTAAAAACAATGTGACTAAAGCATTAAAAAATAATGTAAAGTTAAAAGACAACATTGTTAAAAAATTATGAAAAAAACAATATTAATTAAGAATGTTATTAAAATAAAATGAATGAAATTAAAATAATTCACGAACACTCTAGATAAAGGTATGGACTTGAAGAAAAAAGTAAATTCAATTGTTACTGCCAAGCTTTCCACTTATTTTGAAGTCCCATTATCAGGGCCCTATATTAATTTCACATTACGAAAAACATATTTGTACAATTGAATTAACAACTGTTTTTTCACAATGTAAAAATGTGACTCCGGTACAGCATAAAATACTTCGCTAAAGAAGAAAAAAACTGATGTAATGCTCGGCACAGAACTAAGATACGCCACTTTTCGTGAATGTTGAAAATACGTTCCCGCCAATTCATAAGTGACACAGTCTGCCTAGCAGATGACTCCAGTTGTGTCATTTTTCCTGTGGCATCACACACCCGAATAATTCAAAAAATCTAAATAATCCGGTTTTTATAATTTTTCCACTTGTGTCACTTTTCTTGTGGGTGTGCTATATATGTACATATAATTTAAGTTGTTGGTTATTTTTGTTAACAAAAACACCAATTATTTTTTAGGACATAGATTTAAATCGCTATGTATTTCGGGCTCGTCCCTCGTCCTTCTTTAAAGCTTTTATTTCAGAGTGTTTTATTCTATGGTGTGTGATTACATTTATGGTGAGTTATATTTAGCTAAAATAACGGCTTTCAAAAGGGACCAGGAACGTGGCCCGAAATGCATAGCGATTTAAATTTTTTAAAGATTTTTATTTATTTGACCAGTATTTTTTTACAATATTTTAAATTCTACAATATACTGACATATTTATATATTGTTTTATTTTTTAATTTATTACACGTTTATTTTTAGTTTAGACCATATAAGATAGCATATGCTAGGTCCTTGCAAGGAGTCGTGTGTGACTAATGTGTACATAGGTTTTTATTAATTTTTGTTATATTATTAATATAAAATTTAATTAAAGAATATACTGAACTATCTATACATTTAAATGTTTCATGTAATACGGGATTTTAAATTTGTTATTTTATTCCATACTTTAATTTTACTTACCATTATAGGTGTGTAAGTACTTAGGAAATTAGATGAATTAAATCATATTGAAACAGTTTATTACTGATTCCTTTTAGAATTTTGATACTCTTTCTATAGATACTTACGTTTTGCGGAGAATAGTTTATTTAACAATACAGTTACTCTGTAATTTCGTGAGTTTAGCAAATATATTTTTGAACATAGGTAATTTGATTCTTTACACAATACCTCTTGTAACCCGTTTGTTCTGAAATACATTTTTCTTTGTATAATAATATACATATATTTTTCACATAGATTTGGTATATTCTATAACTCTATTTCCTCCTTCAAATTATTTTTGAATAACATTTTCGGGCATCTTTTTTGCAGGATATAAACTGGCTAAACCATAATCTATATGGACCCCCCCCCCCCTATATGTATGTATATATCTATTTGTCTATATGTATGTAAATATATGTCATAAAAAATAATTGGTGTTTTAGTTCACAAAAATAACCAACAGACTAGATTATTAAATATTTTTACCATCTTTTACCACTTAGTTAAATCAATAAAAAGAATTTAAATATATACGTAGGTGTGTATTTGTTTTAACACATTGATTACATGGCCTTAATTTTTATTCCATGTTGTAATTTCAGTGATGAAATCGTCAATTAGCTGTAAAGGCAATTAACTTCGAACGTTTTTAAAAATATTTAATTTGATATTTTATCAAATAAGGAACTCCAATAAAAAGCTCTATCCTGTTTTCCATAAACTTTGCTTATAATTAAACCGAGGAAAAAACGAATTGATGGTCACATCTGAAACGTTAAATTCCCGAAAGAGAAAATAAATGATACTTGGTAAAGGGGAGGAGCGGGAGAAAGGGAAAATCACCTAGGTGCATTTTTAACTTAATAGCGAAAAGAGAAGGGGCAAGAGAAGGGGGGATGCACAGTGGATAACGTCTGCAGAATGTGTAGTACAACCCCCCCCACCTGAATAAAACTATATTGGGATCCTTGCCAAGCCCTTATGAACACGTAGCGGTCAAAGAATAACACAGCTTTCCCTTTAATTTCAAAGAATATCTACACTTTTTTTTAACAAAAAAAAAAAAATTATTATTTGAACCATTTTTATATTCCATATTTTGCTAATTTATTAAGACACGGATTAAATAAACTGCCATTTTACAACAAATAACTAGGGAACGCATTCAAAATAAATAATGTGTTAAATTCACTAATTTCATGGTCCACTTGACCAATTAATAATGTGGTTCATGTAGAAAATTCCAGGTGATGTCCAACAATAATGCTTACATTTATTAATTAGAAACTATTTAGTTTAAAATTGGTAATATTTTAGTTTAAAGATGAAACGCTTAAGCTTAACTAATGAAAATAAAAATTTCCAAATAATAACATAATTTTTTCTTAATTGTTCTTTTTATGTAAGGTCTTGGTCGAGACGAAAAAGTTAGTGTACCACCTTCGACTGTGGGTTCGAAACCGGCTCGTGACACTAACTTTTTCATCTCTACCAAGACCCTACATAAAAAGAATAAATAATTGAAATATGTAATTTGGTCAATTAGGCCACTGAACATAATGGATCTTGGAACTCAAAGTGTGATTGCAAATACTTTGATTGAATCTAAAATTTTCTAACATTGTATAAATTTTTTTATTTTAATTTAAAATTTTCTAGCATTGTATAAATTCATTTTTTTTCTAAAATTTCTAGCGTTGTATACATTCATTTTTTCACCTCCTACATGTATTTGTAAAATTTAAACAATGTTTATAAATCCCAAAAGATGATCTCAATAAAGGCCGAAACGTACATTGGCACGATAAAGAAAATGTTTTTCTAAAACCTACGTCACACCCGACCCATCTCACGAACTCTGAATAATTATTAACTAACGGTCATTAAACACCACACATAATTTTTAAACTTGTGTCCGTGTAAATGATTTAGTATATTTAAATGCACACTGCCCATAAAAAAAAAACCCACCTGGTTTTTGCACGAAAAAATGGCCAACTTTGTAAATGTACATTTTCTCAGCCTTTTAAGTCACAGACCAGCGCTAGGCCACATTTCTTGGAAGATTTTACACTGAACAAGATAACTTTTTAAATGTTTTACTACATTCAGTCATTCATCACTAAATTCAAAAATTCGGGAACATGTTAATTTGTGCACTTTGTACGAAGACTTCGTACGTCCTGAAGCGACGATCATTAGCAATCGATAGGAAACTTTAATAAGCTTTCAATTGGTCACCTTCCACTTTGCCCGATTTCTGAACCGTTTTAGAGTTATTCGCGATTTTGGGGCAAAAACTATTATGTGATCATTGAAAAAACCGATCACTCCTCTCTCACTCTCACTCTTAAAAAAAAAATAAAAAAATAAAAAATAAATAAATACGTTTTTCCAGGCCAAACTGCCACAACACCTGCGAAATGGTAAGGAAAAATTGAATTTCCGTGATGAGGTAAATTTACAGCAGAAGGATTCCGCATCCCAAAAAGTCAAAGTAATCATTCTCTTCCAAGGTCACTTTTTTTGAAAAAAAATCCTAATAACAAAAGTTGTTGAGCGTAAAATTTGCGAAAACATGACGGTTCAAAACATTTAAATAATTTTTAGCATGAAAAATAATAAAAAACGTATATATTATTTAATTGTTTTAATTATGCTTCAGCATTTAATACGATTTTTGTTCTTTTCCACACTCTAGGTACGTGAAGATTTTTTCCAACTCGATCGATTGATTATTACGTCAATTTTAAGAAATTGAAAGAACGGTTTTGTATTTTAAAGTTTGTCAGAGGGAAAATTTATATTTCGTGAAAATGACGTAATGAATTGAAATTTATCGAAGGAAAGGTTTAATTAATTTCATATACATTTACATACAGATTTTTTTCTTTTATGTAGATATTTACCGTCCGGGCCAAGTAGCCTAAACATTTTTTCTGCGTTAACTTTTGACTGATGACGATGTTGTTCTGACAAATCACAAATATCAAACTGTTTGGAAAAATAATAAAATATAATCCGTTATCTGGCCCTGTTTTTACGGTAATTTACTTTCCAGGTGGGAATTGGTGATTTTCCACTTCTCCAAATTTATCACATTCCTTTTATCCTCTTTCATTCATCCGTGTGTTAATCCACTGGCTTTTATTAAATATATATTCTTTTATAAACGCTATCGACTCTACGCCAAGGACGTTCCTTTATAACTTTCCAGATCAAGCTTACGACTATCTATTGGAAACGCTTTATGCCTGTTACTAAGCGAAAAAAAAATTCGACACTGGGACTGATATATGAAAAAAGGTTATTTGTTGAAACAGGTTACGGTTAATCGTCGGAAAGTAGCACACTACGTACTTCCAATTTTGAAGCCTATGCTAAACGGGAAAGGCTTTTCGCATCATCCACCACTTCTTCCGCTCGCCCCAAAATTTCTCCATCAAATATTTTGTTTGAAAAATTGAAATGAAAAATGTTATTGTGAAATGTAGCCGTTAATTATGGTGTTGGGATATCAACAATGGGTCACATCTAAACCTAAACTTCATGAATATATTTGTAAAGTGCCGAATCGCAAGAAGCTTAGTTAATCTTAAAAAAATAGTAAAGTTCTTTTTCTCTGGTTTACATTTCGACTACAGTTCACTGAACTTCATATTTGTATGTAAAATACATGGATCGTTCGGTTTTAATTGGACATTACATTTTTTACACCTTTTACCGCATGCCAACAGCCTCCATGTATTATCAGAAAAATTGTGTTATCCGAACTCTCGGTTCTCGGCCTCCTTTAATTCGTTTAACAAGGGTTCTATTGTAAATATAAAATATAATCTTCTATGTAGGTGTATTGTAGACCACACAGATTTTTTTAAACGATGTTTATTAAAATGTTTATTTTTAAAAATGGTTTATTAGCACCTTATTTATTATAAAATACACACTACTAGTTTCGACACAAGGTGGTGGCACGTGTCCGTCGGGGCACCTTCGAGCTGGGAAAATTAATATATATTAATTAATATTGGGAATATTTTCCCGGCTCGAAAGTGTCCCGACAGACATGTAGCCACCACCTTGTTGTAAAAAATGGCAATAAGCCCCAAAAAAAGGAAAAAGGAAATGCGGAGGCAGGACGTCGGGGACGCAAAAAAAAAGGATCGAGCACGTGTCGGATTGAGATATTGGTAGGAAATGAACACCAAAAATAAGACAAATGCAAGTTAACAGAAAAATTTAATCTTCAACGAAACACTTGAAAAAGATTCCACCAATCGAGCGTCGAAACTAGTAGTGTATTTTATAATAAATAAGGTGCTAATAAACTTTTATTAAAATGTTACATTTTATAATTGTTTGATATATATACCTGAACAACTAAATCTGTTTTTATAATGTTTATTGGAATATAATAATTTACAAAACATAAACTGTGTTCACTTTCTTCCAAATTCTGATGGTTAGGGCCTAAGGAAAACTTTAAGCCGGGAACACACTTACCTGATGCAACGCTATGCGACGCCTTGTCACGTTTGGTAGGGTGTGCACATCTGTGCGACGTCAAGCCCACGCCACGTACAGTCACACAGCGTGTATCACAATAATCACTATCACAATCGCAACGTCTCTTTTGTTCGTAATGCCTTATTTTGAGCAAAACCATGTAATAAATAGTTACTTAAATTTTATGAGCACAACCATGTAATACATTGTTAGTTAAATTTAATTGGTTTTAAACAAAGTTATTCCGGTATTTTGACAAATTTTCTGCCTAACCATCATAATTACATAATTTTATAAAAACTAATGACATTTTGATCTCGTTTAATTTGGCTTATATTAAAATAAGAATATTAAAAGAAGAAATAAGATGAATAATTAATATAACGACAAAATTACATATACAAAGTTTGAAACAAACTACAAAAAATTTGTGTGTCCTGTTCTGTCGCTACTCGACGAAAATGGTGTAATTGTATGAGCAAAACCATGAAATAAATTGTTAGTTAAATTTGTTTAGCAAAACTCAAAACTAATGCATTTTTGATTTCGGTTAATTTGGTTTATATTAAAATAAGTATATTGTAATTAATATAACGACAATAATACATTTAGTTGAATAAAAATATGAGTGTCCGGTTCTTTTGTCTTCGACTGTACTCGATGCGACCGACGAAAATCTGGACAGTTGGGATCGCAGAGCGTAGAATAGGGTAGCGAAGCATAGCATCGGGCAGATGTGCACGGGGGTAATACAACCTTATGGAAAAATGGACTTGGGATTTGAGTCGGGTAGCACCGGGTAGCGTCGCATGGCGTTGCATTGGGTGGTGTTCCTGGCGTTAAGCCGTTGTTTTTTTAGTTTTTATTTAAAAAATAATAATTTTAATGGTTTGGTAGAAAATTGATGAACACCGGAATACCATTTTTTTATATAATGAATTTAACTAACAATTTATTACACGGTTTTACTCATAAAATGTTACTAACAATTTTTTTCATGGTTTTGCTCATAAAATTACACCATTATCGCCGAGTATCTTCAGTACAGGATACTCACATTTTTTGTAGTTTATTTCATACTCAAATCAACAAAGTTCATGTAATTTTGTCGTTTATTAATTACAACAGTCCTATTTTAATGTAAACCAAATTAAACGAGATCAAAAATTCATACGTTTTTATAAAAATTATTTAATTATGATGGTTAGGCAGAAAATTTATCAAAACACGGGAATAACTTTTAATTAAAACAATTCAGTTTAACAAACAATTTATTACATGGCTTTCCTCAAAATAGTGCATTAAGAACAAAAGAGGAGTTGCGATTGTGATAGTGATTATTGTGATACACGCTATATGACTGTACGCGACGTGTGCGCTTGCCTTCGCATAGATGTGCACACCCTACCAATACGTGGAAAGGCGTCGGGTAGCCTCGGGTAGCGTCGCATGGCTTTGCATTGGGTAAGTGTGTTGCCGGCTTTTAGGCGTTTTCCGATTTCCGATTATTACTAAGATACTGACAGCTTGAAAAGTATTGGGTTGTCCGGAAAATAATGCAGGATTTTGGTATTAAACAAAAAAAAAGAAACTAGTTACTTTAAAGCAATGTTCTTTAATCAAAATAATTTCCCATACTCTCAATACATTTCTCCCAACGTGTTGGTAACTTATTAATTCCGTCTGAGTAGAATTCAGAATTTTTAGAATTGATAAAGTCAATAAATGCATTTTCCAGTTCCGTTTGATTTTTGAATATTATGTGTTGTAAGTAGTGGTCCAGGTGTCTAAAAAAATGGTAGTCAGTAGGCGAGAGGTCCGGAGAGTAGGGTGGGTGAGGCAAAGTTTCATAGCCAAGCTCCAATAATTTTTGTGACGTTACACGTGACACATGTGGTCGAGCGTTGTCATGCAACAAAATGGGCCCTTTCCGATTGACCAAAGAGGGCTTCATTACTGCCAATTTCTGATGCATGGTATTAATTTGGTTACAGTATGATTCAGCATTGATGGTTTCGCCAGGATTTAAGAAGCTGTAGTGTATTAAACCAAATGAAGCCCACCATTACCTTTTTTTGATGAGTTGGGGGCTTTGGAAAATGTATTGGAGCTTCTCCTTTGTCGAGCCACTGTCCAGAACGTCTAGTGTTATCGTAGAGAATCCACTTTTCGTCACATGTAACAATTCTGGCCAGAAATGGGTCATTTTTGTTTCGACAAAGAAGTGATGCACAAACATCAAAGCGCTGATTTTTTTGGCGATCGTTTAATGAGTGTGGAACCCAATTTTCGAGTTTTTTCACTTTTCCAATCGCCTTGAGGTGGTCAGCAAGTTCTCGAACAGTTGTTTTGGGGTTTTCTTCCACCACTGATCGCAGAACATCATCATTAAGAGAGGAAGGCCTTCCACGACCTTCTTCATCTTCAAGGCTGAAATCTCCCTCCCGAAATTTTTTAAACCACCTTTGCACAGTACACTCATTAACACAACCCTCGCCCCAGACTTGGTTAATGTTTCTAGCCGTTTGGGCTCCGCTTCGGCCGAGTTTAAACTCGTAAAAGAAAATCGTACGAAATTCTCGCTTTGACATTATAAGGATGACTGAATTATTTCCAAGTAGCGGAATGCTACAGAGGTAAACAAACAATATCATTTGGAAGAGGATTAATAAGTGTTGACATTCATACAAATGAGTAATCCTGTAAACGTAAACAGAATATTTTATATAGATTTTTTTTAATGAAAACTTAAAATCCTGCATTATTTTCCGGACAACCCAATACATATACGTACACATAATTTCTATAAGAAAGTAAATATATACATAATTTTTTTATTTACAAATAAACACAAAAGAGGGGAAAACAAAAAAACAAACCAAGGACACCTGACGTATTTTGTTGTTCACTTCAAACGATATGTACTTTTTTCGATACATTAATACTTTCAAACCATTATAATTAGTAATACGAGTATCCGGTTTTGTGTCTTTGACTACATAAAACTTCAGGATGTATGCCGCTTACGCGATTTTCAATTTTTTTCAAAATCTATTTTTCACTCATTAATGTATGCACAGCAAAAGCAAGATAAAACGAGGTAACAATTACGTTATGACAATCCACAAAAAAAAAAAAAACCGATCGTGCAAAATTGTCACCTGGCCAGTAATATTACGAAGTTAATAATAAAAAGTTTACCCTTTATCGGGACAGGATCGAGGTAGTGGAAGTAATTGCTCGAAAATGCCATATCGAATAATAGCACTGTGGGGATGAATTGATCTCGTTGTGCCAGACTAAACCAACTGCAATCACGTAAAGAGTTTGTTTGACAACAGGCCCTTTTTCCTTTTAACTCCCTTGTTTCCACTTTGGTAAGGAGGGGGGTACAAAAGCTTTTAGATACAATAATTTCCCAGCCTTGGCTCGTCCGCAATTTCATAGACGGAACGACGATCGTTTCGTTTCATGAAACAGCTTATAGATATAAATGATACAGTCACTATTATTTTTCAGTGGGTTTCTAAAAGGAAGCAATTACAAGAATAGCTCAAACGTGTTTTTACTTCGGGAAGAAATCATCTCCTTCGCGGATTGACGAAAAAATTAAATTAAACATTCAATATGTTTTTTAATTCATTAGTATATTAAACAATTGGATAAATGTACGTAGTTGTCGTGATTATCATAATTTCATTAATCTAAAGTACATAACTCCTGTCGTATTTTGTGTAACATGCACATTCCCTTGGAAAAAGAACAACAGAAATTAAAGTCTTCTATCCAGTTTAATACAAACCCTGAATAATGCTAGCTAGCACATTGTAGAATTTCGTCTTAATTCTTCATAGATTATACTTTAAATGTATTATTAATACTTTTTAAAACATATATTATTATTAGTGATTACTGAATTATATAAGCACAAATCTATACACGTGTGCAAAGGGTTAGGATTATCACTTTCGCCGACAAATCCAGCTTTCGCATAATTTAAAATAAATTACCGGCAGGCCTCGATAATCGTCCAATAAATACATTCACTCTCATCACGCACTAGAGGTCATATAACATTGAGGTTCTTTAGCGTGCGCACCTGGCACATAGGCCTTATCACAGGTGTAAATTCTCAAGTTAGGAGCGCTCACCTCCGCGCGCGGAAATTTGCTTCTTCCGCGAGGTTCGGTGTAGAATCCCACAATCCACAGACTAATCGGTAGACATGCTGACTTCTCCCGCTCGCCCCTTCAGAGGGGGTGGGTTAACATTGTGCACTCAACCAGTGCCGCGCGTAATGGGAACCGAAAAAAGTGGCCGAAACGCACTAGAGGTCACAAAACAATACATATATCAGTACTAAATACAATAAAACAACATTGTTTCCGCCAAAAAACGGAACAGGGGTAGGGGTGTCGGTGGTGTCTGCTGCCATGCCTCAAGGTCCCTCCTAAGTCATTCGGTACGTTGTATTTCTTTGTTTACATATTTAGTTCTTAGGGGCGTCGGTGGCCGCAACGGTTTAGGCGTTGACACGGCGCTCATCACTGTAAGGTAAAGGTCCAGGGTTCGAATGCAGGGCCGCTGGACATACTTACAAATGTTTTTTTTTTTTTTTCAAAAACAATGGCATCCCGAGGGTTCAAATAGCCACGTAGTTGAAATACCCTCGTAAAAGGAAAAAAAAGACCCAAACACGCTCTCTATACGGAGCCGAGGAATACCACCCTTCCCTTCAATAAAGTGAGCTTCAATTAGCAGGCTGACCAAAGGGCTTATTCTAAACGCTCCGAAGACTGCTCAAAGTCCCTGATAGTAGAGCCTATCAGGAGTTAATAAAATAGTTAAAATTGATTTATTTCTATATCAGGTTGTACGTATCATTGGATTAATGTGGTATTATGATATAAGGCCTAGATAAATGAAGAAAAGTAGTTATTCAATTCCATAATAACAATACAGTGAATTCCGACTGGAAGGCAATAGAATTAGGTTAGTATCGATTGAACTCCCGATTCCGAATGGTTTCAATGGGCCCTGGTTGATACAGAGTTTAATGTATGGAGGCAAGGAGGTACGGCAAATGCGTCCCAAAATAAACAATTCATTCGTCCGATTTCACATTTTACCCTTCCTTGAATAACAACAGAGCGATGGAGAAAGTGAGTGAGTGAGTGTGAGATGATGAACGCTTTATTTATCAATCACACAAGATTTGGTCTCAAGGACCATTCTTACATCTAATGTAAAATACAAAGCTTACTAAGTTTACTCTACTTCTAATTCATTTAACATTAATTACTTCGAAGAACCCAATTTTTGTGGTCAATATGTTACATCTATTCGTTTTACATTGAACTACATACATGTTTACTTCAAATTTCCTATTGAAATAAATATTCTAATGTACAGAATAATTGAGCAATTAAAAAGTAAATTACTAATAAAATAAGTAGACAAAAATACTTTATCAATGCAATTAAGTACAAATCATAAATACATTATAAATTGTCAATATAAATCTAGAAATAAAACTTTCAAAAGAAGTTAATTTAAGACAGAGAACTTTTAGCACCAATCATAACTTGATAAGAGGTGATTTTTAAGACTATTCTGGACATCTTTGATATCTTAGTTTTATGTGAGTAGGGATTCGAGAAAAAGTTATTGCACCTTTTACTAGGAATGACCTGACAAGTTTTGGTCTTGTGCTTAGCGACTCGCAGACCGTAGTTTGCAAACCTAGTATCTCTTATCATGAAACGGAGACATGTAGTTCAGTTTCACACATGAGAGAGAGAGGCGCATACGCTTGGGAAGCGGTATGTGGAAATTTGAACGACGGCAGCATAAACAAGAGCATAAATATTCCGATCGTTAATCTTAGAGAGAACCTTAAAATTACAATTTAAAAACCACAATGGCTTCGACATCTAGTCATGGAAGAAATCTCTACTACCTAGCACGATTTTATTTTCAATAACCCGGATTGTTTGTGAGGAGAGCGCGAGAATAGGTGGAAATTCATGATCTACGATTATCGTATTCTAGAATGACTAGCATTAATCGGGAGTACAGCAATGAAACATGCCTAATGGCAATGGAAAAAGGCTTTTTCTGATTTATTAATTATTTAAATGTGTATATATAAATTATTATATGAGCGAGAGGAGGGAAGACGAAAGAAGGAGGAGAGGGAAGGAGAAGAAGGAAATGAAAAATGCAGTTGGGATTAACAGAATTTGATAACAGTGTGTATTTTTTAATAGAACAGCGACCCTGCCAAACGAAGCACACGAATTAATATTTTGTGTTCTTACGCTACTTCGCCCGTCGAATTACAGTTTTGGTCACAATTTTCTTTGTCTTTTAACAAAAGGGAAAGCTGATGGGGGGACCCTTTTCGAAAATAATATAATGTGCATAAAACTGCATCAAACAGATGAAAGAACACATATATAAAATCGAACTCACCCTTAATCAAAATAAAACTCATACATTAAAGGCAGCAGTAGTAGATATTACCTGAAACAGAACGGCTGAGATTACAAAGAGTATTAAGTAACGGGCAAACGTTATTAAAACATCATTACCGGACTACAGAAAAAAGCTATACTTTTGAACGGTTAATACCGTTGACAACGGTATCACGTTATTAAATCTGTTCGAGTTGATAAGCACTTTCTATTAATTTGTTACAGAGAAATAATGGAGATATTGTCATAAGCGCATATAAACAAGGGAGTGAACACAGAATCTTAGGAAAGTTAGAACACATACGGATAAACGGTTAAATGTTATTAATAGCTGAGTGAAGGAGATGTTACAAGGGACGGACGACCGTAACCGTATTCAAACCGATGTGGTCCAACAGGTGGGTACGGTCGGACGAGATGCCACTTATCCTTGACCTCCGTCACATCGGGTTCGGCCTCCGACCCCTCCCGACAGACCGTCGCACTCGAAAGGGGTAACGCCACCTATTTCCAGAAAACAATGTACCCGCCCGCAATACGGCTCGTATACACAGCTGGCGCCGCTTTTCGTGTAGAACACCGTTATTTTCATTTTAGAAATATCTTTTTTCAAAATGAAAACTAAATTTCGAGTGAGATAAAAGATTTTTCTCGACGCGCATATGCTGCCCTTGCTCGAAGAAGGTCGACGGTTCGAGTGAGCGAGCGAGCGGTACGACCTCGGCCTCGGCTATGCCAAGGTTTCACTTTAATTTAACTAACTGTCGAATTGCCGACGCATCCCTGACCTCCACACAACCGATAAACGGCACCTCAAATTTATATTTAAAAAATAAAATAAACAGTTCGGCAATCAATATTTCTAACTTTGGTCTCTCAACCATAATACCAACCATTCTCATTTATAAGGTACGTGATATACAGGGTGAGTTAGTGCTAAGCGAAACACACAGGGGGAAAAGTGTTAAGTTGCGTTCAAATTTGACACTTGTCCTTTTCGGTAAAATAATAGAATGCTCGGTATCAGGTGTGTGTGTTACTTGGGTCCTGTGTTATTAGTAATCTTTATGTACACATTAAGTCCGTTCTATCCGCTACGCCAATTTTGCTGAAACCAATGGTCAAAATTTGGTTCTCTCTATATCAACACACGACTAACCTTTTGCAGCAACCCATTGTACTACACTGTATCAGGTGTCAAATTAACTATCGTAATTTAAATATACATAAACTAACTAACTCTAAAACCTACGTCACACCAGACCGCATCTCACGATCTTCGAATAAATTATACAACATAAGTAAATATTCAGTCATTTTCTTTTATCGTTCTTTCAAAGTTTATCTTTATTTATTCTCGAAATAATACCCAATTGCTCTTCAAATTCTTGGATTTGTAATAATAATAAGAAACGTTTGTAATTTTCGTAATCCCAACTCTCCATTTATACAAAGCTCTCATTAAATCTATAATTGAGTTTTCTATCTTTGTTTGGAATTCTTACTATTTCTCTCATTCTGAACGGATGTTATCAGAACTGTAGTTTCTCTTTATCATCTTCCACTGTTAGCTGTTGGAAGGCATTATATTGACTTATTCAACACTTAGCGTTAATCCGAAACACGTTTGAATAACATCAAAACCCCGCGAGTGTAGACTACAGTAGTAAAATCAGTAGTGACCCAGTGTCTGTTGTACTGTTTTAATTTTTAGTAAGATATACTTTTTTTAATGTTACTTTTGTGTGATTTGACGTTGTTTATTCATCCTTCAAGTTTTCTTTAAATGTGAAACGGTTTTTCATTTATATATAACGTAAATAAATAATCATATTTTCACCAAAAAAGTACTTGACCCCCCCCTTACCAATCATCCCATATATGTATATCGTTTTTTATGTATGTATGTAAAAAGTTTTGAAGTAATTTCGATCATAATCGAACAACTGGATAACATAATGAACTGTGCTAGCAGTTTTAGTCTAGAAATGTCGAAATACCTAAACGCATCTGACAGACAAAAACGAGGATAAGCGGAACAAGATGGCAGGAAACAACCTAACTCCAAATAAAAAAAGTTTTGAACAACCTTCGCCTTTCCCTAGAAACTTTTTCATCACTTCCCTGTTCCGCAGTATGTCCTGAGTATCGGCCGAGGGTCCGCGGTGGAGACGCCCTCAGGTTGAGATGGAGCC